ATTAAAATTATTTAATTAATCTTCTCTTTCATTAAATGAAAATTATACTTTAAGATTAATTACTTAAAAGTTGTAATTTGAGATAATGGATTTAAAAAATATATATATTATAATTTAAATTAAATTAACATCAATATATATAATTTATTTTTAATTTTCTGTTTTAATTTATTAAAGAAATTTTTTAATTTAATATTTCTGTAAATTCTATTGATATTATTGTACTTTAAATAATAAAAATAATAATACTAAACAATTTGTAAGAAAAGAAAATTAAATAAAATTTAAATTATTTTTACTTGTAAAATTAAAATTAAAACTAACTGAAAAGTGTAATTAAATATATTGAAAAATTCAGGGTTAGTAAATTAAATTTTGAAAAACATAATTTAGTTGAATAGTTAAATTTACAGTAACTTATGTATATGTAGGAAGAAATTATGGATAATAAAAAAATTAAATATATTTAAATCTATTTATTAAAAATAGTAAATAGACTCTATCTCAAAGACTAATATTTCGCTATTCAATAATGTTTTTAATTTGTTGAATCGTAATAAAATTAAAAGAAAAATAAGTATCTTTCCGAACGTGTAGATCGCGAACCCCTCTAACAGTTTAAGAACTATTTATTTATGATCATTTTTAAAAAATATTCACAGTATTTATAAATTTAAATAATTAATTTGATAAATAAATTTATCAGAAGAAGCAAAGAATAGCCAAGTAAACAAATTTATCAGGAAATATTTTTTTTTTCATTTTATAAATTTATAAAATATTTCTATTTACAAAAATTACTCAACTTCACTGCCTGTAAGCGGCGTTATTCTTCTCCAATACAGAGGACTTTGCAAACGTTTTCGAACCTAATGTGGTTCTTCTTCAGGCGCTATGGAATTTCCTATATGAATTCGAATTTCCAGAATTAACCGTTGTTTTGGAAAATTTTTTGGAACGTTGAAAGTTTTTTGGAACGTTGTGACCGATGGCGTCATTGTAGACTTGCGCATTAACCGTATGTTGTTACTTTAGAGTTTTATTGAGGAAGGCTTTCCATGCTGTTGATATCTTCATTTCTTGTTTGTAGTTAATGCAGTGCTTATTCCTGAAGGTGTTAAGGCAAATGTATATGGCCTCTAGCCATCTGAGGTGTTCTGTGCGGACCGTGGTGTGAATAATTCTGGCTAGAGGGAATAGCGGTTCTATTTTTGGGTCGGAGGAGTATACCGCTAAGGCGGTGTTGTTTCTATGATGTAGGGTGTCCGCTTTGTGTTCTTTGATTCTAGTTACTAAGTTGCGTTTAGTGGACCCGATGTAGAATACTTCGCTGTTGTCTCTATGATCGATAATGGGCACAGAGTATACTCCCGGAAGTCTCTTGCTGTCTGGAGCGTCTTTTCCGTTCCTAAGCCAATCGAATATTGTGGCACAACTCCTAAATGCCAAGCGGACATTCTTTTTCTTGGCTATCCGGTTGTATATGGCCTTAAGTGCCGGGTTGTACGTGATTAACCAGGGAATCATTGGAATGAGAGGTGTTGTCGGATTGTTGTTGTAGTACCTTGTTGTTTATCTTGCATAAGACGTTGTGATAGTCATGTTGTTTAGCTATGTGCTCTATGCGTCGCATTTCAGAATTGAAAGCTGATTGAGACGAGGAATGTGAATATGCTCTTTTGATTAATGTGTTGAATGCTGCCATCTTATACTGTGGTGGGTCACATGATGTTGCAGGTATATACAAAGGTTGAGCGGTTGGTTTATGATACACTTCTGTATTGATGGATGATACTTCTATTTTGATGTTAATGTCTAATAAGTGCGCTTGGTTTGGGTCGGCTTGATCTAATTCCACCGTTAATCCATAGGGATTATTGTTGATGGTGTCGATTAGCGTCGAGATATTTGGGATCTTCTTCCATAGAATAAGGATATCATCGATGTATCTTTTGTATAGAAGAATGTGTGGGAGTTGAGATGGTAAGAATTCCGATTCGAGTTTCCTCACCACAATCTCGCAGAGGTCTCCTGCGACTGGGCTTCCCATTGGTACACCACGTTGTTGTTTGTGAGTGACTCCGTTGAATCTGAAGAAAGAGTTGTGGCAGAACAGATGTGACATTTCTAGGATGTCCTGTTGTAACATGTTATCTTGGATCATGTGCATGAGCATATCTCTTATGGCACAAAATACCAATGGGAGATTGATGGAAAGATATAAAGATTTGAAATCCAAGACAGTTATGAATTTCGGAGGTGTCGATATGTGTTTAAGGATGTTAACTAGGTCCGTCGATCTGGTTATGGTGTGTGGGTATCCGTCCAGTTGAGGTACTAATAATCTGTGTGTAGCTTTTTCTAAATTGATAGTTGGTGTTCTGGCCTTGTCCACCACAGGTCTGAGTTCTCTCCCTGGTTTGTGAGTTTTTGCAAACGCAAACATTCTGGGGGTGACAGGTGCGGCTATAACAATGTTGGTCATTCCCAGTCGTTTCGCTAGTTTAGAACTCGCGAAGCGTTACAGGCAGTGAAGTTGGGTAATTTATCTATTCCGGTGTTAAAATTTCTGTATAGTTTAATTTCTATTTACATAATTTTTTAGAAAATTTATAATAATAAAGAATATGAATTATTTTTAAAATAAATTTAAATAACTTAAAAAATACAGTTAACTTCTGAACAACGGATATTTTTGTGTTTCCGAACGCAAGGAAATGGCGTTGTTCGCAGGTGAACGTTATTGGAGGGACGAATGTATATATTAAAAATACTATATATATATTTAAATAACGCTTAATTTAAAAATTTATTTACATTTCAAAAAGATGACATTTAAATTTATTTTTAAAATAAAAAATTTCGACTTACTCTTAGTTAATTTTAAATAATTTATAAAATATATTTATTTTACATTCATTTAATTTTTTTAAAATAATACTATAATAGTAATAATAATAGCAATAAAAGAAGAAAAATTATTATTTAAATTGAGTGTTTTTCAAAGTAACAAGTTGCATGTTTTAGAAAGTGAAGTGCAAATTCGTGTTTAGGTTACTTCAACTTCAGTTTGGATCAAGAAAATTGTAATTTAAGATTTTATTGTATTACTTTTTTTTCTATAAACTTGTAAAAATAAATTAAACGATTAAAATATATAGTAAAATAACTTTTTAAAAACTATAAAATAAATATAATAAAAAGTTTAAAAAAATAAAAAATAAATATAAAATGACAATTTATAGATAGTATTTAATTTATTTATTATATAAAAATTGAAACAAATAAAAATTCGAATATTAAAATCAAAATAATTATTTAATAATGTTATAAATTTTAAATGATCATTTTTATAATTCATTACAACTGTAATTAATTAAAATTGAATTTGCTAATTAATAATTATAATTATTTTCTATTATAAAATTGTGCCGACCCCCACTGTCAAGCAAGACTAAGGCCAAAGAGGAAGATTTTCTATTATAAAATATTCGTAACAAATTGTTCTTATGTGTAAATATTTTATGGCTATTTTAAATTTTTATAATTTTCCTTAAAGCTATTGCTTTATGTAATTACAATTACTTTGTAAACATTTCTCAACAAATTCCGTATTTATTTTCATACTCTTTGATTTATTCTATGTGCTCAGTATCCTACTAGAACCACCTCTCCTTTTTCTCTTTTTTTTTTCGTTCATTCACTTTCCTCCTTTCTTCATTCTAGACCCTTGCGTAGGATCAAAATCTAATAATAATAATAATTATTATTAATGAGCTACAATTTAAAAAAAAATGTAGACCTATAAACTCCCACTATCGTCCGTCCGCTTTCTCTTAGAATTTCGAGAACGGAGTTAGATAGATGAAAGTCGTGACCAGATTTGGAAAGATTAGGGGCAGGAGTCTCCGATTAACTAATAAGTTCTAATTTAAATCGGAAGTTACGTTATTTCAATTCAAAACTTTTCCCCTTTAATAATGGGCAATATGTATAAACTATCTTTACGAATAGAACGAATCCCCTCGTAACGCGGGCTCTAAACTATAGATTATTTAACTTGCACATAAATCTGACTTTCACTGTTTTACCTGAAAAACCAATGTAATGCGAGCCGTTCTGTTTCCATATTTTCAGTGTTATAAACTGATATTAAGTTTTCGGAGTTGAACTACATAATACTATGTGAAAATGGCTCCAAAAATGACACTTTATATACGGTACATGTCATTTAAGCATAAAATGTTCTTCATACAATCAAAACAGAAACCCCACTTTTACGACTAATGTGTTTATAGAAGACGTAAAAGCGGGAGTCTGTATTGTACCGTATTTATTGATAAGTTCGATATATATTAATAATATTTAAGAAGTGTTATTAAACGATAGAAAATAAATCAAATTTCGTTTAATAATTATATAAGATAAATGAAATCTTTACTAGAAGTATTGTTAAATAGATTTAGAAAAATTTCTAAGCTGAAATTGCAACTCTTTCAACATTGATTGAGTTCTTTTATTTTTTGACCTTTTCGATCTTTAAAAAGAGTGATTAAGTTCTTGTTCACTTGATAAAGTTGACAGCATACTCTTGTTTTTACTGATTGTACAACCTAAATATTCTGTCAATTATAATTTAAGTATTATTTGAACATTTTAAAGTATAGTTTGAATAAGTCACAAGAAATTTTTCTTGTAGAGGATGATTGTTACAAAATTAAGTTGTTACCACGAAATTCACTAAGTATAAACAAGCAATAATTTATACTGTTTATACTTGTTTATACTTAACTTCTAAAAACTTTAGCAAGATTTTAACGCAATTCAATTTTAACACTGTAAACATGATAGGAATCGAGCAACTATTTGAGGACAATTTTGTGTTAAAATTTGATTTAATGAAGAAAATAAAAAATTTTATTATAATTAATTTAATGTTGAAATCAAAATGGCTGACAGATAGACTATTTGTAACTTACAAAAGTAATAGCGGAAAAATTAAAGAAGTGACACGGCTTTGGTTTCATGTTGTTAATGGGCACTCCAATTTAATTATTATTAAAAGAATTTACTGTAAAGTGCTTATAGAAATAATTTAAAAGTTTAAATTATTTATCTATTAAATATTTAAAATAATTAAGCAATAAAATATCACAAATAGTAATATCACTACTTAATGAAATATTACTTAACTGTACTTAATAAGTAAATAATAAATTATTTAAAACTATCCCTTTTAAAGTCAACACTAAAATTACTTAAAATTAATAAATGAAGTTAAATTACTAAATTAAGATAACTTTTAAGGGCTAACTGATACAAGTCCGATGGATGGGATTGGGCAAAGCAAGTCGTGGGCGATCTGCTAAAGTAGAGTGCCACCCCCGAGAGAACTTTCTATAAGAAACTGATTCCGATTTAGGTATAAACACATGGGGAAAATCCTGAAAACTCCAAGCAACCAGCCCGTGGATGAGGCTCGAACTCCCGACCACCAATAAATAGCTTTATTCATTTGACTACTGATGGGCGATTTTTCTTATAAATACATTTTGTATCTCTTATTAGTTGATTTCAATGGGTTCAATACAATACAATACCTTAATTTTTATAATAAACAACGCTTTTTTTCCCTCGACTATAAATTAGACAGAATTAGATAACCTAATAAATAGGGTATAACAACTTGCATGGCTTATCACACAAAAGTTCTGGTCCTTTTTTCTGTCGGCTTTGGTGTGATAAGCCCTGCAAATTGTTATACCCTATTTATTAGGTTATCTAATTCTGTATAACCTTAATTTTTATTTAAAAATACTATATAAATCGTTTTCTGTAGAAGAATACAGAATGTTATAGGTCTACTATAAATAGTCTGAGATATGGAGAACAGAATGACAACAGATAGACTTGGCTAATTATAATTTTTTGGCAACGTCGTTAAGGCTATCCTTATTAGAAAATACTGTGAGATATTGTGGAAGTAGAGGCGAAATTTGTCAGCTGGGAACAGTGCTGTGCCGGCTCGCTGGTAACTTGCACCTGAGGCAAAACCTATTTTCATCGACCCTGCTTCCAGAACGGCTGCCAATAGAGAGTACTTTCAGCAACTGGTACTCTTGTATGCACTATATATAAACAACTTCAAAGTACATTTAAGGGATTTCACTTTATTCGGCTTATTCCTTTTATTTAGTTTTTGTTCTCTTGAACATTTTTGACTGCTCATTTTGCTGACCTTCTCAGTTTAACGCTTGAGGAAGTCGCCTCGTTGTCTCATCCATCGAGTTGGTCCTGACTGCGAATAGACTTGAAAGCTCAAGATGTTTTAGATGGGCTGATCAATAAGCGTTGTAGGATACAAAGAGCAAATGAATGTTGATTGGATTAAAGTTGCAGAATCTTATGCTGTTCAAAAAATATAATCCTGGATTCAATTGATGGGATAAGGCAACGCAACACTTGTGCGATCTACCAAAGGAAGTACAGAACCACCCGAGAAGACTTTCTAAAGGAAACTGGTTTCTATTTAGGTGTTAAAATTCCGTGTGACCAGCCCGTTGGTGAGGCGCGAACCCCCGACGAACTACCAGTATTTAGTAGCTTCATCTACTTGACCACTGGTGAGCTAGATTATCTTGGGATTAAACATGAGCGAATTAATGAACTTAGTCGGAGTCGCATTAATTAAGAGACTCTAATTCTCTTTCCTTATTAAAAATACTAAAAGGTACATCGATTTTTTATTCAATTTTCGAAGTTTTTTTAAACTTTTTACTTCATCTTTGAAATTTGTTTAGCTTCTGTTTATGATAGCTTGCACTTAAAATAATTGAGAAATTAAGAATGAGAAGTCAAAGAATCATAAACTTTTCAGTTAAAAGTGAAAAGATAACTAAAGATATATCTTGTAAAATAATTGTTACATTGGATAAAATATTCCATATAATATTTTTATATTGAAATAATATACAAATTATTTCAATGAAAGAAATTCGAGAGAAATTGATATTCCAACAATATTTATTGATATTCCCATAACAATGATTTGTTATGAAACACAATATAGGCCTATAAAAAAGATTTTCAGTTAACTGATTAAAAAACATTCGCACAATTACTAATTTTAATATATTTTAAAGAATTCTAAAAAACGCTTTTATTAGTCATGTTTTTCAAGATTTGAGTGGGCATATTGAGGTGATCTTATTCTTACCATATACATCATTACAGTGAATTTACACACATGCATAATGATTAGATTTTTCATTTGGTTATATTTAGAGAGCTTTGAGGTGAGAGTATGGTTGTAGGTAAACATCATTAAAATGCATTATCATCGGACGTAGGTATGTCCTCAAAGTATCCGAGACTTCTAACTTAATTAAAGTGGATGAAATTTGAGTTGCGAGATCAAAAGACGATAAAAAGCAAGCTAAATATAAGCGTTTAGAAATGAAAAAATATTAATACAACGATTAAAGA